TATGACAGCCATGCAGAACCCAGCCCAGGTTGGTGTGTGAGGCGACTGGTTGGTTTCGACGACCGACGCGCAGTTTTCTAGACACTATGAGGTGCCAGTTATCTTGTCCGATCAGTATTTTCGGTGAGGCGCGTTCGTAGGTGATATCTTCTTTGATATCCAACAGATGTTGGCAATTCTCCAAGTGATTTTCATTCACGGATTCTGGCGCGAAGTCCAACCGTTCTACCGTACGCGCTGCTTCTATGTTGTGTTCCTCTTGCGCGTACTTTCCTCTTATTTTAAGGCTGACAATCTTGCTCTTCTCATGTTTCACCTCCGAGCCGACCCCTTGTATCCACATTGCGTGGGCTGGGCCGTCGGCGCCGATGACGTCGGCGATCGAGGCATCGACTAAGGTGACCGTGCTTCCTTCATCCAATAATGCGTATGTTTCGACGCAGCTTAGCGGCCCCCTTATTGTTACGGGCGCAATCTTTAGATAAGCGCGGCGGTGTTTGTACGGTTGAGTCGCTGTGATGACCTCCCTTGCCGATGTTGCGGTTTCCATAGCGGGTTCCTTTTCAATTTCTGCTGTTCTATCGTGATGCAGCAATTTATGGTGTTTCATCATGCATCCGCCTTTTCCGCACGGTGGAGCTTTACACAGCAACCGGCGATGTTTGCCTCGCAGACAGCGGTAGCAGATATTATTCTTCTTTGCTACTTCCCATCTGTCATTAGTGGACAGAGCGGCGTATGACTTGCAATCGGGCAGTTTGTGTTCTTGTTTGCATTGAGGGCAGCGTTCTTCATATTGTTTCTTGCTTGTGGCGAAGGCACGTTCTATTTTTCTTGGTCTTTGCTCTCTCGTCTCGCTGTCCTCTGCTATGAACTCCGGCAAGGCATACGCGCTGCATTTGTCCGCTTCATCGTTTAAGAACATTGATATCTTCTTAAGCTCTGGGATATCTTCTTTCTTTCTGGCTGCGTAGTCGTACCATTTGCTTCTCAATATGGGCGTGAGTTTTTCTGTGATAACTCGCGTCATTTCCGGACTATGCAGATAGTGTGCTTTCTTGAGTGCTTCCACGGTGCCCACTACGTTTGCTATGCGATTTGCGAATATGCATAGCTCCCTGGGATTGTCCGTAACTTTGTTCAGCAGCTTCAGCTTCTCTATTTCCAAGTGGATTAACGCTTCTGGTCGTCCGAATCTCCTTTCCAAAGCTTCCATTATCAGGCTGGGATCTGGTTGGCTTATGAGTAGGCAACCTGCGGCTTCTTTTGCTGTCCCTTTTAAGCTTCGGCGTATTCTCGCTATGTTTTCGTTCATCGTGAAGTACTTTGAAGATTCTTCGTACGTTGTTTTGAAGCTGAGCCATTCTTTGCTGCTACCATTGAATGTAGGTAGCTCTTGCACATATTTCGGCGGCTCCTTTGTGCTTCGTACTGCTTGTGATAGAGCAGCGGCTAAGGTAGCGACGTCGATTTGTTGCTGCGCCTGCCCATTGTCTTCTTTCTGCGGCGCGGGTTGTGATGCAAACTGCGGAGCGGGTTGCGATGCGAAGTGCGGTGCGGGTTGCGGCGCGGGCTGCGGCGCGGGTTGCGGCGCGGGCTGCGGCGCGGGTTGCGATGTAGACTGCGGACCGGGTTGCGATGCGAAGTGCGACGTGGGTTGCTGCACAGGCTGCGGCGCTGGTTGCGATGTAGGTTTTTCTTGCAACCATGTACTAATGCGTACTGATGCTAAATCGTCTTCTATTTCTTCATCTTCGTCATCGGTTGATCCGACTTCTGCTTGTAATCGCTGCACGTGTATTTCTTGCAATTCCGTTCTTGCTTGCAACTGAGCCTGCTCGAGCTTGAGTTCGGCTAACCGCTCTTTCGCCTCTAACTCCGCGAGGAGTCTCTTGCGTGAGGCTACGGAGCGGCGCGACCTAGTCTCGTCGGGCCTTAGTGTGCGCTGCGATCTTCGATCCCTCTCTTGCTGGGTTTCTTCCGTTGCGGCCGTGTTATCGGTCGCAGAGGTAGCGGTTGTATCGCTGACCGTTGTAGTTTCGCTCGTGGTGTTGGATGTACCAGTAGCGGTTGAATCGCCCCCAGAGGCCTCTTCTGTGGCCCCCTGGGTTGTTTGTTCATCCTTGCGACGCTTCGATGATTCTCCGTTGTTACTACGTGTAATCACCATTTTTCTTCACAATAATATTTTTTCGTTCTTGCGGTTTGCTTCTTTCTTCCGGCAATACCAAGACCGATATTGTCTTTTTCTTCTAGTAATCCGGCTTCTCGAAGGACCATTAATGTTACGGATCGCCGTAACGCCGTTCGAAAAATGAGTGAAACACTTTGGTCTTGCTTACTACTGGAGGCAAGCGGCGGTGAGGAGGAACTTTTTCTTTTCTTGCTGTTGTTTTCTTTTCTGTAGCTGGAGAGCGACTGCCGACCGTTCCGGCCGGTCCGTCTTATATACTATTTGGCCGTTGCTGGCCAGCGGACCCTTGCCTCACCCCCGCGCCTTTCTTTATTAGGTAAATCTCTTAAAAACTAATGTACAGACTTAAATATATTACATTCTTACAATTACTTATTAAACTAATACTTATATAACAATTGTTCTACATAGTAAAGGCTAAAACGTTATTATTCCAGCAATTTTGAGCTGAGGACCCTGCCCCCCGCCTCAGTACTATAAATATAAAACGTCGTGGCGCGGCGCGCGTAGCCTCATTCGCTCCGCGGCCGCGTCACGGTAACATGCCCTGTTTTATTATTTATCGTGCCTAAAGGCTTAATACATAAGGAATTAAATTGCACTATACAAAAGAATACATTTTACATATAATACTTATTCTACAATTTGGCATTAATTTCTATATCCTAAATCTATGTTAACTCTCGCCAGTTGTTCGGTGCCTTTATTGCGAGAGTTATTACATAGTTACAATATTATTTATTTAACAATAAAGCTATCTTTCTTAATATTATTGCTACGGCTTTTCCCGCGTTGCTGTGGGCAACCACCGCTAGTTGTGGAACCGTGAGCGCGCCCCGACGATCATAACATTCTCATGGCTCCGCCCACCGCCCCTAGGTTGTTCAACTAGCGATGGTTACCACAAGCAATCCGTAAGTCATTTCTTTCGAGGTATTGCTATGTTTGCGTCGTGCACATTAATATATTAACTTTGGCCTCTCAATACATTTATGAAAATGTAATGTACATACACAAAACAAATAGTTTTACAAAAAAAAAATAGTGATATTTATTCTGTAAATACTAGGAACAGACACAAGCTAGTAGTACCAGTTACTCGACTCCATCGAGTCACTAATTCATTATTGGGGCGATGTATATGCTTTTACAACAAAATTCCAGAAAATATACAAAATTTGACCTGCTCAAAGTTCAAAAACTTTATTAAACTAAGTTTGTATAAAAAGGGTTATTATAATATTAAAGAATTTATGGATGATAATAACCCCTGGAAATGAGATGATAGCTACCAAGCTATTTCTAATTTGTTGTGTTGTTAATTTGTGTAACATATATGATTGTAAGCTGTTATTTTTTTAAAAAAGTCCCACTGGGTTTTTTGCTGGTTCTTCCCAGAACAGAGGTTTTTTGTCGAACCAGTGGTAATTAAACAAAAGAGTGACTTTCAATAAGTATTATTTATAATCTATACTGAATAAAAAAGTTTCTGTTTTTGTATCTTACCATGGATATGTCTTCTGAATACCGTAAATATATTATTTATTTATTTTATTAAACCAATTTTTTTATTGAGAACTATTTGGGGAATTTGAATTTTACATACCTATTCAGCTTTATGCACATACTTTATTGGTCACTAAAGTCATCTCTTTCCCTTGCGCTTTTGTAGCTAATCGCAGGCGAGGTGAGGACTCGGTTTCACTTTACCCAATCAATTTAATCTAATACAAGTAATGTTTATGGCTTGTTCGAGATTCTACATTAGTTTAACTTTCCACCTGTGTAAAATAAAAGCTGGGTCACCGTGGACAAGTTTGCATAATAAAATCAAGAAGTAGGTTTAAAATTCCACGAGCGGTGCGAAATTGCTAGGCCGAATTTACAATTTTTTACTCCAAATCTAGAAGTCTATATATATATATATATATGTCACACCTGTTTTTATATTTATTATTTGATCATCTTCATATTTCACAAATTATTATAATAAAAAATGATGCTTATTGATATAATAAGAATATTCAGTTTGTTAACTTTTATACTACATATGAGCAAACAAACTACAGACAAGGTGATTTCATACGATTAGTAACATACAAATTTGTTTCACATTGACGAGCATTGAAAAGTCATTGTAGTTCTACTTACAAAGACATATCAAATTACCCATTTCCAGTATAATAAGATCCTGCCTATTGAACAGTAATATGGCAACAGCACCACTCTGGACCAGCTTATACCGGAAATGAGTAGTTTGATATGTCTTCAGGTGTACCCATGATATTTTAAACAGTTTGATTTCATTTAATACATCGACATTCAGAAAAATATTCAAGGGAATCCCTGGGCATGTCTATATTAACATTATCATTCAAGTTCATTGACTCAAAATGGCACAACCTACGGCAATCACTAGTTATAACCATTATTAATACTCCATTCATAGAATTCAAAATTGTAAACGTAATCATAATATTCAGTAAATTTAGTATATAAAACATTCAGTTTCTGCAGTTTATTAATACATATAATTAGAATAAGATGATCACAAAGATAAGAACTATGATAAAGCATATAAATAGTCTATAAAACATACAAAGAAAGTTAGCATCTAGGAATTTGAATATCAATAAAAAAATTATTTTAAGCAGGCTTATGGTTGCCTTACAGATAGTTAATGAAGACACAAATATCCAATCTGTATAATAAATATGTAATATATTTAGTTGCGACAGAAATAATTTTAAGGCTTAGAAGAACGATTCAGCACAATTAACTAAAATAATAATAAGGTCAAGCTAACCCGATCGCGGTGGATATTTGTATGCATGATTTGATACTACGTCTGCTTCTTCGACTCCATCATTCTGTCTGCTAGCAAGGGCACCCATAATTTGATGTTTATTTGATTTTTTTAACAATCACTGCTAAACAAAATGTGCGACGTATAATTTTAACATTCTAGTTTAATCAAGAAAATCAATGCTCAAGTGGTTCAAGTCAGTGATAAATTTACTTTTGCTATTGCTACACCGCTCCGCTAATTGATTGTTGTTGTTGTTTTTATTATTCGCTCGAGACTCGAGAGAGCAGGCAAAGGAACTAAGCCATACAGCCTAGTCTTTTTTATATTATCCTTCATTGTTCACTGCTTCACAATATGTTGATGCGTCACATTGTGCAGCCCTTGGGAGATTTTGACGGCAACTTGAGCCAGCAGACAGCTGTCAGTTGGCGATGGTATCTAAAGGCGCCTATGCAGACAAACAGCTTATCTTGAGAATCCATCACCATCAGAGCACTTGTTTCACCGTTTCCACTAATAGTTCACATGTGTAGACAGTTAATACATAAAATTACATCACTTTTACATATCAAAATCCACTTCAAACTATTATTTAAACTATAATACAGGAGCAGCAAACCGCCGCCGGTCAAGTTCCCGCCTACGCTAATTGATATTTGACAGGACCAGACAGGACAGAATGGGACAGAATCACAGAACCTAGAAAAATAACTAGTGATGTGACTCCACCCGTGTTTCACTCGAGTCACTCGAGTAGCTTTTATTTTACTCGCACTCGAGTAATATTTATGACTATTCGGATTATGAGTGATTCGAATCAACTCGAGTTACTCTGATCACTCGAGTGGCCTGTACCGACTCGAGTGAGAAATTCGAGTTAAGACAGGTTTAGCCGATGTATCTTCCATTTGAAATTAAGTACAAATTTGTTAGAGAGAGTTGTTTGTTTTTAGTAATATGTTTATTTAAGACTCTTTGCTATTAGTACGTGTTCGAAATTCGTGATAGATAGCTTTTTAGAACTTTTTACGATGTTTAATAAAAAACAGTTATTCGTTAGTTGTGCAAGAAAGTTCTCATAATATAAAGAATAAACATCAGATTCAATATAAGGATATTAGGGGTGCGTCAAGTTCATCTCATGCATGTTCTTAAACTACTGAAGGCGATAGTAGTACTCAGCTTTGGTACGAAGTATCTTGGAATACTGCAGCGTAGTATGGAATCCCCACTTTAATATTTACTCACACAGAATCGAAAGGATACAAAAGAGATTTCTTTTGCATTTATCTTACGATCATAATCTAGTTACAACTCTTAGAACTTACGAAGATAGGCTACATTACTTTAACCTTCAGCCACTTTCGAATCGAAGACAGCTCCTTGACCTTATTTTCTTGTATAAGTTGGTGAATGGCGTCATTGATAGTTCTTATTTACTAGCCAAATTAAATTTTCGTACCCCATTGAAGTCAAAAAGACCGTTGTCTTTTATACCATTCGTAGAAAAGGGCACACGTTCTCGTCAAGCGCGCTATTCTCCGATTAATAGATTGATGTTGAGTTATAATGCTATATATAAATTATCACATAAGAATTGTATTAGTGCCATAATGAATATTGATAATAAACATAAAGATAGAAAAGTTGATATTGACATATTTTCAGATAATCTTTGGAAATTTAAAAGTGATTTATTACATTTATATTACTCAAATAATTGTAATGAGGATCAGTAAAGTTATAGAAAATTCAATAAAACTAGTATCCATGTTATTCTTTATGAGATAAGAATTATATATCTTTTTGAATTAGCCAAATCGGACCATTACTTACGAAGATATTAAGTAATAAACATAGGCCGTTACTGTCGCTAAAAGTCAATGTACGCAGGTCCGCGTGACGTCACTGTGACGGAAACGAACGCATCATAGTAGTACATACATGTATTCTGTGGTAGTTCACGATTCGATGGAGTGCGGAGACGCGGTTGGGCACTATATTTAGCAATTTATTTGAATAAAGCGTTGTTACCGTATAATTTTGTGATTGTTTAAGTATTAAAAGTACATAATATGAGTGCTAATAAAGTAGAAGCTGGTTTTGTGCAAGCTCAATCAGATAACCGTCCAAAAGTGGATTCTTTCATGGTATTTGATTATTTAAGTAATCATTCTAAGTTCACCAGCGCTAAAATCCGTGGTTGGAATCTACAAAGGTAAGGGTGCTGCTTATTTATCTACGTTCGATAACCGGCTTGTTCGGGATATTTTTCGGAAACCGGCTTGTTCGGGAGACTGGAAGTAGTCTAGTCTGCGCGCGAGACGATTCGTAATGACTCTCGAAAACAGTACGTAGACGCGGCTCAGAAGGGAAATCGGTCTGTAGTTCTTCAAGAGAGCATTGTCACCTTTCTTGAAGAACAAGACCACTGCACTTCTGCTCCACCATGCCACCATGGAGGACTGAATCAAAGAGCTACTGAAGGACTTCATGTACCGGTTTTCCACCCGCTTTCAGAAGCTCCGCTGTAATTCCATCCTCGCCTGGGGCCTTGCCGTTTTTCAGGTGCTGGAGAGCCATTCTAATTTCGCTCATACTGACGTCCGGGATATCATCGGAATAGTGTCGGATAAGACTCGCTCTTGGATCGTTACTCACACTTGCGTTTAGCTCCAGCGATGATGTGTACAGCTCAGTTACTACTGAAGATAAAAATACTGATAACACCAATTCAAATCAGTTTTTCCTAGCAGTTGTGCAAAGCCTAAAGGAAAATCCTATCAAAAATCAGTTATCAGTATACGTTACAAAGAATCAGTATAAAAAATTGTCCTTGCCATAACCTCATTCATCAATACAAAAATGAAGGCAATAATATAAATAGTGCAGATAATTTTATTGATTATTGTTCTACTAAAATCACCATAGAGAAATATCACAAAGCAGAGGAAGCAACAGTTTGTCAAGCTAGTTCACCGTTATGGCATGAGTTAAGGTATTGTAGAATAACCGCGTCTAAAGTTCACGAAGCCACACATTGCAAGACTCCTGATGGTGCTTTGATTGAACAAATATTTGGTGCCTCTGTACCAGAGACTCTGTCTATGAAAAGAGGCAAACGATTGGAATCCAATGTCAGAGCAGAAATAGCCAAAACAAGGAAAGTAGTTATTGAAAATTGTGGTTTCTTTTTAAAACCTGATTGGCCTCATTTAGGTGCTTAGGTTATTTGAGTCTTGATTCTCACACTCTACTACTTCAATGGAATGCAACAACAGGTCTTCGCGTCCAATATCTCTACTTAAAACTCTTTCAAAATATTCTACGTCTTGTCGTTTTTTAAAACCCGGTCGGTCAATTTTCTTTTTTTTGGGGCTTTTGGCATTCAAACTTATGAGGCAAAACTCCCTTCTTCAGTTTAAGCTTTCCTCCAAGTAACTTAAACTTTACGTAATTTTCCATATCTTCTTCTAACTGAAATATAAAAATGTATATAAGTATTAATTTATTTGCTTCTAACAATAAGGCATAGCTGAGGCAGATACATAAATTCACCGCTGTTATGTAAATGATTATAGAATATTATCATTCACTCTTTGCTTTTTACCCGAGTACGTCTCTATGTCATTGTTTTGACCCTGGAATACGAAATACGATGTTTTTACATATAAACATCTGAACCGATTTTAATGACTTCGATCTGTGATCTTAAAATGGATATAGGTTACTTTTCATCACAAAAATAAAACTTTACGGGGACGAAATAGCGGTGAGATAAAAACTTTCTGTGACAAACTGAATTCAACGCGGGCGAAACCGCAGGCAAAAGCTAGTAATACATAGAAATGGGAACGGGCGAATATATAGGTTTACGTTAGTAGATACGTTAGTGCGTAGTTTTATCAACAAAACTTAAAAAAAGTAAATAGGTATGTTTTTATTAATACAGCAGGCTTAAAATAAGAGAATATACAGGTAACACTACACGTAACATAAGGTACCAACTTATTTCCATATCAACTAAATAATAGGTATAATAGATATGTAGGTACGTACATCGAAGTGATCTTCACAGCAATTTCTTGTAGCCTGGGCAGAGGGTGTAGTTTTATCATCTCATTTTACAACGGAATACCATTTTTTTACGAAGTTGGGGTCTTTCGGTATGTTAAAAAATAGTTTTTCTGGCGTTTTAATAGAAGTGTTTGTACATTTCGGCGCTATACAATATTTATACATAGTCAAAAAGGTAAATTAGACACAAATCGGTCACAATTAACCAAACAAAACACTGCGCGCCATATTACTGCCAACGGCTAACTGGCGAAGACCGTCATAGTGACGTCACAGCTACCGCGCCGGGCCGTCAGTGAACTTCGATAGTAATTTAATCATAACTTCGTTAATTTTTGTCGTAGAACAAAAATTTTTGCACTGTATGTTAAGGATTTCTTAGATCTATAAATCTGCATTCTCAACTAAAAACGTTACGGATCCTCATTCACAGTAAAATTATATTGTTTTTCTTACTAGTAATATAAAAGCTAAATTGTGATTAAGTAATGATTGTATATTATGATTTATTAATTATTTTATTTTTGTTATGTTTAACGTTTATAAAATTTCTAATGTTAATAACAATAGTGGAATCAATGCATGATTTAATTTAAATAATTATATAATACTAAATTCTGATATATTTATTGATCTCTTAATTCTTGTATTCAATTTAATTCACTGCATATGCCTACTTGTGTCTATTTTTTTTTTATGAAATGTGTGTAAACATTCAACACTTAGTTTTTATGATTTTTTGCAAAAATATTATGCTTTTATTAGTGTATGTTGGTGTTAAATAAATAAATAAATAAAAATAAAATAAAAAAAATAGTTCTGCTTCCACGTCTGTCGATTCCAATTATAAAACGGCGTTTTCAGCAACTACAGCTTGCAAGACCTAATGGGTCGCTTACTAACGAGTGAAAAAAAGTCCGTTGAGTTTTATTTTCATTCGAGTGGCACTCGAGTGACTAGGCTATCACTGGCGAGTGACTCGAGTGAAAAAATTTCACTCGAGTTGCA